AATTAGCACTTTGAATGTTGTAAGCTTGTTCTTTGTTTCTTGCACTGTATGTCACTGGAAGATGTGCCTTTTGTTTAAAATAATGGCATCTTGTAATCCCACGTGGAATGGGCCAGATGTCTGGCATGACAGAAATAAAATAAAACTAAAAAAATAACTATATTACCACATAACACAGAAAAATTCAATAAGGTTCAATTAAGTTTTATTTGTATATCTAAGGACACTTTACATTGTAAGGTCTAGACCTTACTACCAGTAGTAGTAGTAGTAGTAGTAGTAGTGAAAAAAAAAAACAACAAATCCCCAAATTCCAGGGTTAATCTAATGTTATTAGACAGCTTAATGCTTCTATATACTAACATATACAGACAGTCACAGAACTTGTGAGTCTTCATTCTAGCTGCGCTTGGCGTGGAGCATTTCAATGAGCAGGCTGCTGCAGGGTACATCGGCACTCTGGTATCTGCAGTACAGGTAGTCTTCAGTGAGGCTGCTGAGAGCACGCAAGTCAGACAGACACAGCAGCAGATGAGCAAAGCGCCCAAAGTACTGAGAAGAGGTGCACAAAGTGTACTCCAGCAGGGTTTCTTCAACCTGCTCCTGCACGCCTTCTATGAACCGATGGTCTTCAAGCTCTTTCACATCTGGTTGGTGTGAGAAAGGGAAAGTGACAACTAATGAATATACATAAGACTAAGGATTGTCAAACGTTTCCATACCATAGAATGGAGACCTGAAAAACTGTAAAGATCGGACAAATTAGACAGCTAAAGGGTTAGAAAAACAATGTTAATATTTGAGATAATTTTTTACCACACAGCCATTATGCTGTGCTTTATAGTTACTGTTGTGGGATTCCTGTTTTCAGTCGCTCACCACTCAATTCACCAAGTGTGTAACTCAAAGTTGTTGTTACCAATATGAAAAAAGCATCAGTTGCCACTAACCTGGATCAAAAAGGATGAGGAACTTGATGCAGGCAAACTCTTGGCGATCCACCTTTAGCATACTGAGCTTATCAACCAGCTCCTGGCCTCTCTGGATCAGGCTGGCTAAGGTAGGACCAGCATGAGAGGCTACGTCTGACAGCTCAACCTGAACCAAACACATACTAACATCATTACATGTTCCTCTGTAAGGCACAACTTTCATATTTATGACTCATACATCATGTTCAAGGCGATCATGTCTGAATTTGAATAAATTTATAACATATTATGGATTTATAGCAGACTATGAAATGCTAAGCCCATTTAGCCACCAGGCTTTGTTGCTATTGTTTACACCTTTTTGTCATTGTTAGAACTAAAATGTGATTTTTAAAAAAAGAAAACAAAGACAAGCAGAGATGACTCACTTCCTGTCCAGTGACCAGGAGCAGACTGCCCTCTCTGCCATACAGGACTTGTCTGGAGATGATGTCCAGGAGCAACAGTTCACTCCAGCAGCTGTGCAGTAATCTCATCTGATCGTTCACCTTGGAGCAGAAAAAAAGCCAATACAATTCAAATACTGGTTTTATCAGGCTTGTCTGCAAAATTACCAAAACCAAATTATATTAATGAGCTACTGGGATTAGTAAGGCGATTGTTTGGCTTGCAGAAACTCTCTTCTCTTGCACATGACAATCATGCAGACCCAGCACTGTGGGTGGGCAGCTGCCTGTGAATATATTACATAATATGTGTGGTTTGGGCTTTTGGTTTGGGGGGGGGGTGGTTGCTCTCTCCCCTCCACTCTCCAAAGTCTTGTCTAAGTCAGCACAAGGACGCAGACACACATCGATCACAGGTATGAGGAACACCAGCTTCCTGAAAACAAATAATTCTAAAAATATTTGTATAAAATAAATATTTGTAAAAACCTACTATTTGTGCTGTATTTGTATTCGGCTCCACCCCTACTTTGTATGTATATAAAACCAGACTCACCAGAGAGAACCTTACCGTAAGTTGTTTGAAGAAGATGGATGTACGAGCCCACTCCACAATGGAGAACAATGTCTGGTCAGCCATGAGGCACATCAGGCTGAAGGTGCTGGGGTTCCTGTGTTTGTTCCAGCCGGTCTGCTCCTGCTTAAGACGAGCTATGGTCTTATTCCTCAGTTGTAGCTCATCTGGATCACAGCGCAGGAACTCCATGACTAGCTGAGGAATCCTGGGACCTTGTGGAGTGTTTGAATATAGCTCATCTGAGTTCATGTAAATTCCTGCAGCCGAGCCTAATGGACTTACACAATTGTTGGTGTGCTCTAACTTGATTGTCCAGTTTGAGAAGGAGGTGAACTGGTACTGGGTAGCACTAAGTGGGTTGAAGGGCAGAAGTGAACACATTGACGGACACTGGTGGCCAGTCTGGTCATTCTGTGCTGTGGGTAGTGGGATGCTATGAAGGAAGGGATCTGGTTGGAGGTCGCCAGTAAAGGCCAAGTCTCTCTGGTAGCTTGAGGAGCACAGAGGTGAGCTGAGCTCTCTTCTGAATCCACTGGTTTGCATCAAGGTTTTTCTCTGCTGCTTGAGGGCACGGTCACGCTTGTACATCGGGCCAAATTTGTTCCTGCCACCTCGCATCCGATCTACACGAACAGCTGATGAGAAAAGTTGATTTGTTTACAGCAGTTCTTCAAGATGCTTTTCACTGGCATATGCACACGCTGTCATAATAGGTAGACTACCCTTATCTTTCTTATCCTGGACAACATTATGATGGACATATTTTGAAAGCAACTGGGGCTAAAATGTACAAACCCCTCTTTTCTGGAAATGGGGTTTGTAAACTGACTTAGCAAACTGAAATAATATTTGGTGTTACACATCTGTTACATTAATCATTCAAAGCACTTTGACATAACTGGTTAAAGCTCCTTTGGCAGCACTAACCTCATGAGCTTCATGGAGAAAATGTAATTATCTAAAGTTTACGTGTGGGACCTGACCCAAACTACACCTATTCTGTCTTCACACTATTTAACTTCCATACTTTCACTTCTGTTTGGCCCATCCTTCCTCACAGAGTGGTTCAGCTCAGACATATTACTAGGACGCCTGGTGTGAACGGCTCTCTGAGCAGCTCTGTTGACTTAAAGTCAGGGCTCTGACTGGGCCACTCCAAAAGGTGGATTTTCTTTGACTGAAGCCAGTGCTTATGGTCATTGCCCTGCTGCATCACCCATTAGCTATTGCACTTCAGCTGGTGGACAGCCACCCTAACATTATCCTGTCAGATATATTGATAAACATAGGAATCATTTTCCCCTTGATCATGGCAAACTGTCCAGGCCCAGAGGCAGCAAAGCAGCCTTACCATACATCATGATGCTCCTTCCACAGTACTTTACAGTTGGGATGATGATTTCATCTTGGTTTACAGTGCTCTTTTTTACACCTTACACACAGCAATGTGTTTTTCCCCAGTTCAACCTTAGTTTTATTAGTCCACAGAACATTTACCCAGTAGTGCTACATCTAGGCGCTCTTTGGCAAACACTGGTGTCCAGTCTCTCCAGTAACTCCTGACTCCTGATGTCAGTAGCTGAGGAGCTCACATACCTTTTCCAACACACTGTGAATGTTTGAATGATGTATTCAGCTACAGTACAACAAATTTAAGTGTTATTAGTTACTATGTATTTTTATTCATAGTTGTAACTTTGATGGTTTGACCATATTGAAAGGAAATATTCACACACACAAGTAAATCCAGCGGGTCCACTTACTTTTTATTGACATTGCATGTAAAAAATCTGTATGGACTGTAATCTAAAATGTTACTGCCAGGACTCTCACTAGCTGCCCTAAGGCTTAATTGACCCAGTTTCCCCGTGGGTCTGTTTCTAGCTGTAGGAGAGCAAGTAAAACATGATACACACCAAATCACTGAAAATCCTCTTAGTCAAGATCTTTTCACTAATGTATGTATATATATATATATATATGTATATCATTTAGCCAGTAAATGATATGTTTTTTGTTTTCTTTTTTCCAACATGATCCTTTTGAATTTTATGATATTAATTTTTACATTTATATTATTTATGTACTTGTTAATATGTTTGTGTACACTAGTTCATAATGTTTTTCGGAATTATATTTTCTGTTCATATTCATTTTCATATTGTGTTTTTTAAATAATTACATTGTTCATTTTGTATATATTATCAGTGTAGAACAACAGCAAATCTCAGGAGGTTACAACACCTGTCATTTAAGCCTTAACAAATACATGGACCCACAAAGGCCTTCAAATTGTGGGCCTGTAAGAAGAAAGACGGATTCTTGTCTTTCTTTTGTGGGAAACACGTAAATTCGAGGTGTTCTGATTGCTCAGTAACACCGAGACAGATTAATGACCTTAAAACGATTTGTATGGTTAAAATACAATATAACTCCAGCACCAGGACGGCAAGTCGAAATGAAAGAAACGGGTTAAAGAGGATATAACGTGCTTTAATCAGCGTACAATTATTATTATTATTACTGTTTCATAAAATACAAAGAAACACAAAGTAAAAACGCGAAATATCAGGAAACCACGCAGCGCATCCTTGTATTACCAAGATGACCCTCTTTGCCTTCGGATTACCAATGTGTACAGGTCTGAAGACATTTCGAGGACTAACACTAGAGCAAGAAGACGAAGAAATTATTCCTCATTTGTTGGATGCGCGGAAACGTTTCCATGTGGTCGTTTTAGGATACAGATGATATTTAGAATATGTGGTATTAAGAAAACGCTGGCTATAGTGCAAAGCCCACACAACACAGGTAACCGCAGTCCTTACCTTCCAGTCGCATGCCAACAAGAAGGCACTTCTGAAATCTGCAGAACGGACACCGCTTCCTCAAAGACTTGTCGACTGTGCACTGCTGTTTTTCGGCACAGATGTACTTCTTGTTGTTTTGAACCGTTCTTTTGAAAAAGCCCTGTGTTGAAGAAGAATATGGATCCACTTGAAGAAAGCAGCTGTAGATACCTAGACTGGCCATTTCTGTTTTGTCACACATAAAATAATGGATGCACCTGGGACATGCTCCTGCACAACATAGCATGCCAAACAGAAAACAGTGCAATCTAATCGGGACCCAGAGAAATAAACAAGTAAACAAATTTCTTAAGTATAATTCTTGTCTTCTCATACAGTTCTGTATTTTGGAAGTATTTTCTTTGTTGTATGGTTTATAATACAGAAACTTAGTGGACACGTTAACCAGCCGGTGCCATTTGCTACCTTGTCAACAGTATCTGCTCAGGCACTAATGGGGGCATAGAAATGTCCCTAGTCCAAGCATATAGTCTTAAATTATAGCCTACATTGTTATTTTGTAGAATGAATGAAAACACAATTTCGCGGTTTTGTAAAAAGAAAATAGGCCTGCATCTCTCTGTGGCAGGCTTATAGGCCTACTTAGACTAAGCCATTATATTTAAGTACCGTACACAGACAGGCGGCCTTGCATTTTATAGAATATATGATATAATATGACAAATTCTTGGAGAAGAACACCTTTCAATCGCAGCTTCCAAAATAAATACTTTGAATGTACATTTTTATTATTGTGGGTAGCCACTAACATTAGATAAAGGTTATGACAATGACCAACAAGAACTAACTGAAACAGGCTATTTGAGACTAAATGAGTACTAAACAATCCTCATCCGTTCTGGAGCGAGTCCAGATGTAAAACCCGCGTCGGCCTTTATTGGCTCCTAGTGCAAAATAAAACCCCGACGGCGTCCTTAAACCGATTTGGGCCAGAATATATGGAGACTCTGAGTGTACAGCTGTGTATATAACAACAAACACGTCCCAGTACAACAATATAAAGAGGAAAATAAAATGGACCTTGCAGCTTTCACAGGTCAGCAGACCGTAGTGGTACCCAGAGACTTTATCCCCACAGACTGGACACAGCTCCTCCAGATCTGCATCAGGTCTGTGCTCCATTCTGGAAAACTGCTCTGAAAAAGAAGGCAACGTTGATTATTCTCTTTTCCAACCGCAATACCAGTGAATGTGGAAAAACAGAAGATACCAAAGTTCGCACATCGCGCAGTTTATCAAATGAAAAATGCGAATCATTTGCACCTGCTGCTTTGGAAAATGTGACAAATAGACAACTCTGCTACAGCGTTTACTGACCGTCTTACCCGGTGGATCAGGCTAAGTGAACGCACAGTTGGCACAGCAGCGTGTTTTTCAGTGCACAGATCAGTGCACCACTGGTCTCGTCATCACCCTATGAAGGAGGGACACGGTCCTGACCCGATCTGAAGCTGCCACCAGTGGCCATGTCGGATCTATGAAGTCATCTTAGTCTGGATTTATTTACAGAATTGACATGCCTAGTGTTTCACGGAATGACAGCATAATTGTTTATATTTCTAGCTTAGTTACACAACTTTTCCAGTCTTCTGTGGCCCCTGTCCCAACTTTTTGGAAGGCGTTGCAGGTCTTAAATTCAGAAAATTAAAACCAAAATATATTCATGTTAACATTACATATCATAGTGGTACTGTTGCCAGATGAATATGGGAGGGTTTTCAGAACATTTCATTCAGATCTGGTATAAATGGACATCTATTCATTTTTTTCTGCATGTTTCCACCAGGTGTCCTGAAATCACCTTCACCTGCAGCAAATGGAGACAACATGAGACAACCTGTTCCATCCACTCCTGCAAAAGCAGGTGAGATCAGTTTAGCATCAATGTCTTTGCCTGGAGAATAAGATGCTCTCTCAGTGCATGGTCTTGAATAGCCCGTTTTCTTACAGCAGACAATTTGACTTGCCATGACAGGGACAGTTAGTCAGCATGAACAATAGCAGAATCCTGAAACTGACACAGCTAAATGGAATTAAGCCTTAATTGCTGTGACACATCTCTTCTATAAAACAAAAAACTGAGGACCACTCTGAGTCTGAATGGAATAGTCACACCTATTGATGATGACATTGTGTACAGGTGGGGCCAGGCTCCCCCTGACAGGATCCCTGGGGCCTTAGGGGCAAGGTCAGTGACAAGCTCCACAACTACTAGACCAAGTACAAATCTATGAGCCAGGAAAACGAACTTCTGAGCGACTCAGTAGCCCCGAGCCAAGCAAGGGTGGCTGAAATGCAGATGGAGCTTCAGAGTCAGAAGAAGTAGATCAGGTGAAAGAACTGTTTTATTTGGAAAATTAAGCATTTCACTATCATTATATCATTGCTAATCTGTCTGTTTGGTGTGTATTAAATGTCCTTTCTCTTCACTGAGTATCAGGGAGCGCTACAGGTCCTCTCTGGGGTCCATGAAGAGCTGGAGAAAGTCTTCAGTGAACTCTCCAACTTACAGTCCAAATATAAAGTCATGGAGTCTCTCACAAATGCTCAAGAGACAGAGCTACAAACTCTGAGGGTAACAAGTCTGCTGCAGTTCAGCTAATGCTACATATTGTGGCTATGTGGTATTATGACATAAATATGCCATTTGGCAGACCTGAGCCGGTGTCCTGGCTAACAGAGCTAGCGCCATACTGAACCTGTGGATTAGTACAGGATGTTTGTTTATTGCATGCATACGTTTTTCCAGATGAAGGTTTCACTGCAGGCTCTGGCTTGCTTTACTGCTGCTTTTCCTCTACAATTGTAACTATTTTTGGAAAATTGTGTTTTTTTTCCTTTTATTTTTTTGCTTATTAGCAATGAAAAACTAAATCCTTGTGTTTTTGCAACAACCAACTTGTCCTCTTCTCTCAGTGATATTTGTTTTCTATGCATTTTTGTGTAGAAAAAAACTGCAATATCTGTTTCTGTGACAGTTTTATCACTTCACAAACTACAAGACTAAATTCACTTTTCAGTCTCACACATGCAAAACTGACATTCAGAAGACTTGCTACAGCTTCAGTTTTGACAGAGTATTTGGCCCACAGGCTTCACAGCAGGAGGTAATCAGACGTGCACAATTTACACTGTACAGTAATCACAAACAAATGCCAATCTGGTTTTATTTATGAATGTATTTTGTGGCAGCCGAAGCAATAAATTCATGGTGATTTTGGTCATGGTGTTTGTAGGTCTTTGACGAGATCTCCCTGTTAGTGCAGCCTATGGCCAGACTGGCAGTGGGAAGACATACACCATGGAGGGAGAGGAGCACGAGGACTCCAGAGGTGTAATTCCCTGCGCCGTGCAGCAGGTGTTCAAGACTGCACACAAGCTGGCAGCACAAGGCTGGGATGTTAGTGAGTACCCTTTTTATTAAATACAGTTAAAGCATTTTAAATAATTGACTTATCAGTCTTAACTATGTTAATTACCTGGCCCTGTTGGTTAGACATGCTTTTGTTTTCAGTGTTTAATCACATTCTTATAAACTATAGATGTGATTTTTAGAATTGCTTTGATCTGCTCTGTGTATATACTAGCTACACTTTTGATTAAACTTGAACAATTTCGGTTTTATCTCAGTTCACCTTTACAGCAAGTTTTGCCGAGATCTACATCGAGACTTTTCAGGATTTGCTCTACACTGAGAAGACCAACAATGAGATGACCGTCACAAACCTGACGTATAAAAATGTCACCGACAAGTATCAGGTAAGGTGGGAAAGTAGCTCAGCTCAAGGTACTTGCACGTTAAAAGTTAACGTGCACAAATGTGATTGACTTTGCCTATTAGACATAGGTTCCACTATTTCAATCAATACTAAATGTATGGAGCAGTACGAAGAACTAGAAAAACATGTTAAAGAACAATAAATCAAATTGAATTGTCCTTGAAAATAATCTAAACAGTAATCAGCAATAATAAGAAAATTGGGCAATTGCTGATTAAAACTAATTAAAGAAATGTAATAATACTTAATGATGCAATGTTTTAGCACTTGCAGGATTCAATAGTTTTCATGTAAACTCAAATTCATCCTCTCACTTATTAATTTCGGGTAGTTTGAATGACCTTCTCCTTTTGCATTCTGCTTCGCTTTATTAAAACAGGTGATACCAACCTTTGCTGTATTTTAAAGAGACTAAATGTATGTCCCACAATGTCAACAACTGAACACAACTCTTTCAATAAGGGTTTTTGAAGAATTCCAAATTAATAAGAAGGTTTAATACTTGATTCAGATTGATAAAACGCAACCCTGCAGATGATCTGAGAGGTGAGCCTGCTTGTGTGGGTTGTTAACTGGTTGGTTGGGCAGGGTTGTTATGACCAAAACACAATCTGTGTTAAAATCCTTAAACCAGCCAACAACGAGGGCTGCTGCCCTGCAAAGTCATGGATGATCCATCTCGAATTCAGCAACAGCAGTTCAGCTGGACTCATCTGGAAGTAGAGTCTACCGTCCCGTGAGGCCATATACACAGTGTGTTCACAGATACATGGTAGCTCTTGTGTTTAAAGCCATGCAGCTCCTTCACAGTGCAGGTGTGAGAAATTGTTAAGCAGCTTTTCGTGAAACCTCCTTTGGGCAGATGGTTTTCTATGTTTGTGAAACATCTAAAGTCAATGTTGCTGTCTGTGAAACTTCTGTAAATAAACTGTTCCAAAACATAATTCTAGGTAATCACAGCCATAAGTTTCACATAAGTTGTACTGCAGACAAGTAAAAAAGATTGCAAATTCAGATTTAAAGAATAGTAATATATACACATACAATAAGCAATGAACATGACAGCAGTTCAGAAACAAACAGGGAACATCTGTTTTCACAAACTATTAAGCTTCACAGTAGACAGTGTATAAATATCCAAATAGTCAGATGATACAGTCTGTAGCGTAGGTTTTGTCTCAGACTCTCCATTCATCTCTCTGGCCCTCTGTCCGTCCAGTCAAATTAAAACACATTCACAGGCAGTCGTGGTCTTTACAATGAGCCCTGGTTGGAGCATAAGCTTCTAAATGTGCTCATTTGAAACCAGATTACTGCTGTCTAATAACAGAAATCAGGAGGAGGTTTACCCAGATTAGAGGGTTATCTGTAACCTACAGTTTAACTCCTGCACAGAGGCTGTGGGTACCTAATGATGAAGTGATCTCACAAGGCTTGGTTTCAGTCCCAGGGCAACTATGAGGAGCTCAATGTCAGCACTAGTGGAAGGAATGAAAAAGAAAGAATCAGCAGACTGAGGAGGAGGCATGCTGTGTGAAAGCTCATCAGCAGAAATGACGGAAGCATTTTGGAGGTGACAACATCTGGATTTTGTTACTGTCCATTTCACTGGCTCTCACTGAGACGCAGACACACCATAGCTGTATTTTAGCATCAGAAACAAACAGTCTAGCTGGAAAAGAAAGATGCATCCCTCCCTCTGGAAGGAACAGAACTCAGCTTTGCATGCAGCAACTTTCTTGTGCAGGTTTGTAACCAGCAATTTCAGTCTATTAATGCCACAGCTCTGGGGTTTGCTTTCTGCCCCCAAACGCAAATCCCTTGGGCACAAACACTCCTCCTGGCTCACTGCTGAGTGCAGAAAATTAAGAACACCTCTTGAGGTTTGGGTTGAACCCTGCAAACCATTTGACTGAACAGGTTTCATTCTTGTGTGATTGCAGCACACTGCTTCAGTTCACACATGTCTAAAACAAAGTGCATTTTCATCCACCTGGTTTTAAGAACGCTCCCAGCTTGAAATATGAGATTTAGCTCCCGCAGCTGCTCATCTCCATCAACCAATCAACCATCCTGCTGCTGCAGAATACCTCCACATCCTTTACAACATCACCACTCTGCTCATTCTGCTCAGAGTAAATAACTGAGACACAACATGCCAGAACAATAAACTCACAGAGATGTCTCAGATCTCAGTCAGCTGTTCTTCTGTTGCAGTTTCTTGAACGCAGCCCCGGGACACTGCCTTGCCTTACCGTGCACCTAGGCCTCATGTTTGTTGTCATGGGAACCAGCCTCCATCTGGTGGCCGACTCCCATCACTTGACGCTCCACAACTACTAGACCAAGTACAAATTTATGAGCCAGCAGCTGTCTGTCAGAGAGAATCCAGTCATGATGGCCCTTAAACCCTTGTTCCCGATGGGTACTAGGTCAGATTTCTCCTCTGAACCTCAGATACGGTGTGCATTTCCTGATTTGGTGGAGATACAACAATCCTGTAACCTGCCTTGTCTTCAGTTAGTCATCTCCTATGGAATTAGTTGAAACAAACATCTGAAAACAGACCTTAATCATCAACAGAAATGGATGCACATGCAAACGTTTCACACACCAACTGCATTGTGAGGATGTTTCAGTAGTTTGTATTCTTCAGTGAACTCCATCCAAAGTGCTGTAAAGATGCAAAGAGAACAAACCTGAGCCAGGCCAGTATTTGCTGTCCAGTGACAAAACTATTGACTTTTAATACGATAAGCTTCTGAGGTGAAACATTAGGCTCCTTAACTATTTTGCACGTAGACGCTATATATTCTATACCTTAAAAACTGCAGGCAGTCAGCAGTTTTAAAGGTTATGTTTGAACCCAGCACCTCACAGTCCATAAAAGATCAGCAGCAGGACACGTTTTTACACTGCAGAGCGGTGTGCTCATGTTGTGGCTCTGTTTGTCTTCACAGAGTGAGGCCATATGGCCTGAATTATTGGCACAGTGGTTTTTCCATAATGATAACTACTGATGGAAACATTTATTTACCCTTCAGCTGATGAGGAATGAAACACATTCACATGTTTGTTAGAGCTTAGGGACACACACACACTGTGTTATGGTTTTGTGACACTGAATACAAATACAGGAAAATGCCAGAGGGGGGCTTTTATTTTGAAATTCAAGATACACAGTTTTTCATTAAATCCAAAAAAATTAAAAGTAAAAAAATCAAATAAATGTTTGTCATGGAAATAAACTGTCACTTATAAAGCCTGTGCAGACTCAGTAGTGTTT